AGCAAAGAAGAGAGGGTATAAAATCTACTATTTTTTCATGACAAATTTTCAACATTCACACCAGGGTTTAAAAAAATGTTTTATTTTTCCTGCTCTCACACTTGCACAAATATTTGCGCTTTAGAAAAAGAAGGGAATATATTTTTAAAATTAAATACATTTCCACATTTAATGTTTCATGTGGCTATATAAAATTAATTGCGAATTTTCCTGCATTTTCCAAGACAAAAATAGCTTGCACTGTGCCAGACAAAAATTGCTGCTGTTGCCATTGTAGTTCATTTGGTTGAGTGCGCATCGTTAGCCTTCCATGTCTGTCCCGCTGCGGAGCCCCAAATGCGGGGGGGCGGGGTCGTGACAGACGGCAAGTTTTGTACAAACTTTGATTTTGCCACAAAATCACAAAGTTGTTTATTTGCCAGCCACGAGATGTTGTCCATTGTCGTTGTTGTTGTTGCTTGTTGGTTGTCCTTTATTGTTTAGCCGTGGACGGGGATTTGCATTTGCAACTGTTTTCACATTGTTGTCATTTAGTTTTTGGCCTTCGCTGGCAGCAATTGCAAATTGGATTGCCATTTGAAGTTGACTCTCGAAATTATACAAACAAATCAAAATATCCCACTGAGCTAAGCGCACTTGAATGAGCTCCAACAGGCATGCTATATTAAAACAATATATTTCAATATATATTTCGCAACATATATATTGATTTGCCGCAAATCCAATTGCCAAATAAATAATTTCATTCCTATTTCAAAAGTAGCAAAAAACTTTAGTTTTAAATTTAAATTTTAAAATATAAACTGTCTCGTGCCAAGAGCTGACGCATCGATCCATTGTCTGATCCCAGCCGGAATTGAGCTTAATTCTGGAGCGGAAATGGTTGCCTATCGCTTAGCTTTAACATTAGTTCATACCAACTACTTGGCGTTTTTTCTCCGAGCTGTACTGTTTCCCTCTTCCAAGTTCTGCGTACAGATTTTTAAGTGCATTTTTCTAATTAGTTCAAGCTAAAACTACTTATCACCTTCTGTGCCTGCCTCTTCCTAGAAACACAAGCTGCACAACAATTGCCGCAACTTGGAAATTCCTATCCGTCAAGGCCTCGCTCAGGCCTACTCCATTCAACCAGCTGCCTGGCAACTGCACTGGCAGACACACTGCGTATGCGTAATATTTTGCAGAAATCAACTCGAAATTGCTGAGTGTTGCCTTAGCTGCAAATGAAATTGCAGTTTGCTATCGATTTGCATTTTTAGCTCTTGGCTTGCATTTCACATGCAACAAAGGCAAACATAAGCCATGGCACGCCCACTTGTGTGCATGTGTGTGCGTGTGTGTGTAGGCGTAAAGCCGCTCAATCAATTAGTCAAAAGTTCATATTTTACGCCCAAGTGCACTAATTTGACTTCGAGCTGCTTTGGCAGTTGGGCAAGTGGGCGGCACTGGGCTTGAGAGTGTATGGGGGGTAGATGGGGTGGGGATGGGGGCAGTTATTGCTGGCATCGGTTCGCTTGTCGTTTGTTTTATTAACATGGCAACTCAAGTCCCACAGCGCGCACGGGCCTGGGTTAGGTTGGCTAGTTAGGCACTCAAAACTGGCCATTACTCATATGAGTGGCAACCAGGACGATAGGCTCCAATTCAGGAATGTGGCAGCCGGGCAGCCAGCCAGCCAGCTAGCCAGCCAGCCCGTCCAGCGTTGGCTGACAATTAATCACTTTGTTATACGCCCACAACAACCCACCGCCCCGCCGCCCCGTCAATCATTAATTTATCAGGTGCACTTAGCACGAAAATTGCGCCAACTACAAATACAGAAACGCCCCGCCAGTTCAGCTCCTGCGCAGCCCCCCTTATGCTGGACTATCTCTCTCTCTCTCTGTCTCTTTGTGGCCGTGTGTTTGTATTTGCGTAGCAGGTGCAGTGACCAGTGTCCCGTGTCCTTTTGTTTGGCCCGGCCCGGCCCGGTCCGGCCGTGGTTCGGTCTGCTGCTTTTTCTAGGTTTCATTTGGTTGTTGCTGTTGACATGTGACGCCGTCCTGGCAGCTCGTCCTGGTCATGCAATCCGCAGCGCTGCACTAACCAAACCAATCAAATTGACATACTCCTCCCGCTGCCAGCCCCAGCTGTAATTACCGCACACTGGTTAGCCACTGTGTGACTGACCGGGTGGGTGGGGCTTGGGGCGTGCCCAGAAATATGCATTTAATACTTAAAAACTACAAATTAATTGGTCCAACACTTTTACAGCATGGCCATATATTTACACAAAAATTAAAAATTAATAAAGCACATCGAGGCAAACGCGAAAAAAGGCAGCAAAAAATCCGTTTGAAATTCTTTGGTTTTTCTTTTTGGTTTTTGTTGGCTTGTTTTAATGTGCTTTTTGATTAAATTTTAATTGTATATTTTGCTGTGCGTGGCGGCAAAAAATGCACACATTTAAAATTGCATAATGGAATTTGTATTGCTCGTTATGGTCGTTTATGAAATGTTTGATTTTTTTCCATTTATTTTTCCCCCTTTTTAATTCAACGTTTAACTACATTTTTCTCGCTTTCCTGGTTTCATTGCAGGTAAGTTGATCCGACGTTTATGATGGGTAAGCGATATGACAATTGGCCGGGCTTTTTAAAGTTTTGTGGATATAGAGGAGATTGTGGCGTAAGAGTTGTGCGCTTAATTGGTTATACATATGTTAAGATTGTGTAGGGAATTGTGGAAAATATAGAATGTGTGGTTTGTCTAAATGAGTCAAGGAACGCTAACAAGAGTATAGTTATATGTATTTCAGTTAATCATTAATTAACCTAAAAGCTTGAATAACCTTTCAAACATTGATTTACCTAACGTAATTACGTGTTATTACTCACGGATTTGCAAAATTCCAAAAGCTTACAATTAAAATACAATTTACTACAGTTAAATATTCTCCCAGCGCAAATATTGTAAAGCTTTAATACACTTTCGAAGCTCGCCGATAGCTTTCGCTTGATAGTATTCAATTCAGACCTTTTCATAACAATTAAACTCTTTTTAAAAGAGGCTCGAAGATTACAGAAAATATATACTCATATATTTACTTTTAATCGCACAGCGCAATTAATGTCGATTAAATCTTCAATAAGCTTTCAAAGATCCTCAAAGCTCGCTAAAAGCTGTTGTGTGCTTGATAGCTTTTAATTCAAACTTTTGTTAATAATAAAACACTCTTAAAAAAAGGCTTCAAGGAGTAAAGAAGACATCTTCGTATATATTTCAGTCTTGTCCCAATCGCACAGCCAAATTAATGTAGCCCAAAGCTTTAACACCCTTTCAAAGCTCGGCAGATGCTCGCTGAAAGCTTTTGCATGCTTTTACAGCCGTTTATGCTAGCTTTAATTCTATACAATACTTGAGCTCTGCTCATTGCATATGATAACATTAAAGTAGTAGAAAAACTTTACGTTTATTCATATCTAAAATTCAATCAGTTAAATAAATTATTTTATGTTTTAACACTTAAACGTGCACCTAGCAAATCTAATGCCCAACAAGAACAACAATAACAAAAACCAAGAAAAAAGTAAAGGAGGAGAAAAACCTTTTTAAATCGTATCGCGACTGACGTGTTTCTTGTCATGTCTTTAGCAGGGCCCAAGTTGTCGTCTCTATTATCTTATGCAGGCCTGGCAGGTGGTGCCACTACACCACCGACAAGACCACATCGACAGAGCTTACACTTGCCACACACACACATACACACACACACTCACACAACCGCACACACACACACACATACCCTTACACTCACATTTGTTGATGTCGAAAAATGCAATTTTTAAATTTCCATTAATTTCGCGCTGTCGACTTTTGTTAAATGTCACTTGTGAATTCAAAGCGTTGCATTGAAGACAGGCCAACTGGCGAAGGCGGACAGCAGCAGAGGGCGTGGCAGCTATTGCTATTGTTGTGCGGGCTGTGAAAAATGCAAGCGACCAGCAGAGGCAACAACAATGCCTGCAACCAGGCGAATAACGTTGCCCAGGTGAAGGCTGCAGAAGATGCCACCATCTAAGTGACTGACTGACTGACTGATGTGAGTGTGTGAGGGTGTGTGTGTGGAGTGGCTGCTGTGGCACCTGCAACTGCACTTGCCGAACCCTAGCCAGACAGCGTGCCTCCAGGCAAGAGGCAAAACCGGCAGCAACTAACAAACGATTCTTTTCCTTTTCTTCTCGTTTATCTCTTTCTTTTTTGTTCCCTTTTAATGACATACATGAACAAGGCGTGGACTTGTGTCTGCTAGGACACTTATGCACCCCGCCTGCCCCGACCCGCTTCGTGACGTCCCGCTGTCAGGTGCCCATATCATAGGGTCTTCCGTCAAGGAGCGTAGTACTATTTTAGTCGCCTTCACTTGATGCTGAACAAGCGAACTTACACGACAACGTGACATTTAATTCAAAATGTTTCGTTTTCTTTTTCGCTTTTTTTTTTGCTTGTTAACAAAGAGTAAAAAATACCCAGCGAACCGGTTGACTAGGGAGGGTAGAGTGAGCAGCTGTAAGTGATAATTTTGCGCTTAAACCAAAATATATGTGTATAAATATATATGCATTGAAGATGCATGGACGTTGGCCTTTGGCCAGGCGAATTGCCATCTAATAAAATACGTAATCGACTTTGGATTTTAACGTTTCCTTGTGAACTCAAGTTATGCAATGAGGCAGCTGTTTTTGCCGCTCACAAATTAAAAATTTAAAAGTAAAAGTCTGCATATAAATGAGCAGCTTTTACTTTAAATTTACCACAAAATTTTGACTCGATATCGATTCTACATCGACTATCGGTTATCTTAGCTGTTCTCAATGCTGCTATCGATACATGTATATATATCGATCGAAAAAGTCGCTACTCTGGTCTGAATTTCATAAAACTAATGGAAATGATCGATTAGTTATCGATAGCTACCATTGTCTTGGCTAATATCGATCGATAGCTTTACAGATTTAAAATTCCACCAAAAAACTTAACTTAAATTTATTGATCCAAATGTGAAAATCATATAAACAAGCCCATAAGTGTTTAGTCGTCTTCGTCCTCATCTTCGCCAGCCTCGCCTGGTTCCGCCTCGCCGCCTTCTTCCTCCTCGACCATCTCCTCGGATGAGCTGACCTCCTCGATAGGCTCGATGTCGGATGCCAAATCCTCTTCGTAATCACTAATTGCGCCCAGCTCCTCCAAGCACTTGTCGTAGTTCTCATCGAAGCGTATGTTCTCGTTGAGCGAAGCCACCTCCACGTCCTGGTCAGGTGGCAGCAGCATCGGCGCCGTGCCCGGTGGGCATTCGGTGATGTTGCGTATTCTCAGTGTGTGTATGTGAAAGATAGCCGAACGATTCGATTCGAGCAGCACCTGGTGAAAGACGCTCAACAGGCGATCCATATTGCCAAACATGCGCACCGAGGCGCTCTTCGGATCTTCGCCCTCCTCGAGTATGCGGCCCACAATGTGATGGCGATAGGGATCCATTAGATAGATAAAGTCGCCCTTCTTCCACAGCGAGTACATTTGATTGTTGATCTGAAATATGATGTAATCGTTCTCATCTAGCGCCTTCTCCAGCATCAGATGGAAATCATTGTACTTGTACATGGGCACACATTTCCACCAGCCCTCGTAGACGTTCGGTGTGAGCAGCACCTCGGCCACAAATTGACCCATGCGAATCTGGCGCGGAAAGGTATCCAAGTCCATGGGCTGATTAATGTCCGTGCACGGTTCCCAACAGTTCTTGCACATGTTGACGCCATAGCAAATTACCTTATCGTAGGTCTTCATATCCCACGTGGCCGGATGATCGATTTTGGAGGCCAATGCGGTGGCCACAGACACGGGCAAGGCGCTGCGATTACGCAGTGCATCCTTCGGATTCAGTGTCAAATGCAGATTCGACTTTAGGTAGCCATAATCCGAGGCAATGACATCGAACTCGCTCATGCGCGGCCCAAACTCACGCTCCTGACTGCGTCCCTCGGCGCCGGGTGTCACCAGCCGTATAACCAAAATATCGCGCAGCTTAAACGTGTCCGACTTCTCCAGATTGCTCTCCTCCTTTAGTAGATGTATGACATTGTCTAGGGAACGCATGGCCAGCAGCATGGGATAGCCGCCATCATGATTGGATTTCAATGTATCCTTATCGCGTCCATTCAAATCGAGCACCATCCAAACTCCCGTATCCTTCCATATCAGCAAATACCAATTCGGTGTCCAGAATACGGCCGACTTGTGGCGCTTAAAGAAGGCGGTCAAGATGCGGCGCAAGTTGCCTATTTTATTGCTAACTCCATACAACTCGAAGGGTGCATCCAATTCGAGAGCAAATTCAATATCATTGATTTTAAAATGACGTGTTACCATCTGTTCGGTATCATCGTATACCTCCGGATATCGATTGAAATTGGGCTCATCCATGCCCTCCGAGTCGCTGAACAGCACCTGACCCTCGACGACAATCTGATCGATCAGCTCCGTTGTCCATTCGGTGCGCCTGGTAAAATATGTGGTCGCAAATGCCTTCAGATTGCCCGCATAACGAATGGCCTCCGAGTTCGGTGCGCCCGCCTTTGTTGCCGTCGAACCGAATATGGTGCCCAGCGGAAAGCCCAAGGATTTGTCGATAAACTTGCGGCGCGAGCGTCCGCATTCCTTGGGATCGAAGGGTCGTATATAGGGATCATCGTGGACGCCATAGATGCGACAATGCTCGTGACAGCACGGATCTCTTTCATAATACCGAACAGATTTCGAGAAGCTGAAAATAACCACAAAAATTGTACATCATCGGGAATTGGGTCTTTTGAGTGTTTCTCTTACGTGGGTTCACAGCGTACGGTCTTTGGTGGTGGACAGCCGCAGGCGCCTCCTTTACTGCGTTTCTTAGCTGCCATTTCAGAAAATCACTTAGAAAATTTTAGCTTTTCTCAATTTTATGCACATACAAAAATTTCAAGCACGTTCAACAGCCTGTGTGTCAACTAACGAATGGAATATACAAGTTTTATTTTTGAAAATGTTTAAGAAACTCAAAAATGACTGTAAAAAACATGCCTAGTAGATCAGATGTTATATGTAGCTGCAACTTGGGAGAAAGTAAAGCTGGGGTTGTTTAAAAACCTAAAGGCTAAGAGAATCTAAATGGTTTCTCAAAATCAATAACAATTTTGTTATGCTGATCAAAACAGGTTCACAGTCTTGTCAGTTCCCATAGACTACGATATATGCTCGAAAAAGTATCGCTATATATTGATACACAATACTACAAATTAAATTAAATTTAATTTATTCAAAAATAGAATAAAATAAATATACATGTTCCAATCGTTCCAAGCATAAATTGGTTGCGAATTTTTGCCACCTCAGGCTAGAAAATTTGAGAACTTTAAAACAAAAATACTAAAAAATAGTAGTTATTTTAAATTCTGTACGAATCTAATTTCTGAGCTTTCATTGCATTGTTTTTACTTTAATTATATCAACATGATTTAATTAGAGTCCTGCTTCGAAGCTGCCAGAGCTGAAAACTCGGGTACATTTTGCTAAAATCAGCCATTTGTGGCTATGGAGTGCACCTGCAGCTGTTCCGCAACACCTGTGCGTTGCCGCCTAGTCATTAAATTACTGCGTAGAGCTGTGCTTAAGATATGCTGCATCCCGTTCCAGTTGGCACTTGTTTTCATTACACAAATTGCGCTGAATCCCAACAAAAATTTCATTTACCGCATACGTATGGCAAACTTATGATAATTTTTGCGGCTCTTGAAGCAGACGGGGAGCATACTTACCGAGAGTCTAGAGAGAGATAGAGAGAGATAGAGAGAGATAGAGAGAGAGAGAGAGAAATTGAGCTTTGAGTTTTACGACAGAGGAAAGTTAATTTCTTAGCGCAACTGTGGCGCACAGTGGCAACTAACAGTTAACAGCCAGGCCAGATAACACGAGACAACAACAGTTAAATGTAATTGGAAAGCTCATCAAGTGCCGTTGTGCCTGCTCATCATTGTTGTTGTTGTAGTTGTTGTGGTTGTTGCTGCCACTTCACCTGTGCAGAGAAGTATGCAAAAGAATTTTGGTTGGTTTATTTTTGCGGTTTATTGAAAACGAGCCACACGCTGCGTATACGTAACGTGCTGTCAATCTCTGGAAACTCTGCTTAGCTAAGCTGCTTTGCAACCAACCTGTGGTTGGGCAGCTTGTGCAACACCCCGCCTGACGACAGTTACCAAACCCCACGCCCCTTTATTTACGAGCTGGCGCTTTATTGTCCTTTTGTTTTTGGCTGCCAGCCACGTAATTGGCTTAGTCAGTGAGTGTATAACAAGTCAGGTGGGGGTGGGTGCAGCATGCAGTCAGCCATTGCCATTAACAATTTCCCGTGTGTGCGTGTGTGTGCATGTGTGTGTGTGTGTGCGGTTTTATTTCGTGTCATCCAATCAGTCGCGATACGAGGTACTTCAGTCACATGCGCAGATTGATTCCCCGAGCTGCCATCAAAGCCGTATTCGACTTCATTTTTGTTAAGCTTTTTTTTTTTTTTTTGTTTCCTGCTTTCAATTTATTTGCTGCTCTTTTAGCTGTTTTCTGGCCATTTGTTTAGCCCGCTTGGCCGCCAATCGTTTCTTTGGCATTGCGCAATAAATTTACACAAAATCGTAAATTTTAAACACTTCATTTAACAGCGCCAAAAACACGAAACGAAGTGAAATGAAATGAAATCGCTTAACGATTATCGCCCACGACAAGGCGCTGGCAACTTATCGCTGTAAGTGTCTATGTGTGTGTGTAAATTCTTAGCCTGTAACCACCAAATGCCCCAAGTGCTGCTCACTGGTCGCTGGCGTCAGAGTTTTTTTTTTCCCATTTTCTTTTCATTTTTCGCTGGGCAATTCCCTGGAAAGACCAGCTAAATTTTTTGGTTGCAACAAAAGTGCACTTCCATTTACGGCTTTGCCCATGAATTTCCACGAATGTTACCAACAGCAAATGCCTTCCCCTCCCCACTCTCTTTCTCTTTCTCTCGCAACCACTAAGACCCTTCGACAGGCAAACCAACCTGCAGCATGTCCTGCAATCCCTTCTGCCCGCCGCCCGCTCGGCCTGCCTGTCTGTCTGTCTGGTTCAGTGCTCAATAATGATTTCCATTGCGAATTATTTGCATTTCCCCGAACTCATTATGCTTGCATTGTAAAATTCGCTTCGACTCTGGCTTCGACTCCTACTCTGATTGTGCTCTGCGCCCTGCTCTTGGCCTCCACCTGCCTTGCTTCTGCATGCCATTTCTCTGGGCAGTTCAAAAATGCCAAAGTTCTTTTGTGTTTAGCCCAACGTTGATTTAATGCGGTTGCAATGTTGCTTAAATTCTTGATTGGATATGAACGTGGCTCTTGGACTTGGCAAGCTGTTGCAAGGGGGGCGTCTCTTGTGTGGCATGCAGCTTACAAAAACCTGAAAAGTTATTGGCAAATAATGTTAATCTTTTTGACTGCCAGTAGATTTCGTAGAGAATTTTATGTTAATTGTAGAAGCAGCTGAAAATATTTAGCATAAGTTTTGTATGTACTGCCTTAATTCTGTGAGCTTATATCCCGAACCCCTTGTGCCCCAAATGTATATAACAGGCAGAAGGAAGCATCTCTGACCCTATAAAGTATATATATTCTTCATCAGCATCAATAGCCGAGTCGATTTAGACATGTCCCTCCGTCTGTCTGTCCGTATGTGTGAACGATTCAATGTCAGAACCTATAAAAAGCTTTACTGAACTCTGTTAACAGTTAACTGAGCGCTGTTAAAATAATGTTACTCAAATGGCTCTGTTACGCTGGCGCTGTTAACCTGATGCTTATAAAGTTAGAGCTGTTAATGTGACGCTGTTGAAGAGATAACACAATCACGAAGATATAAAATAAAAACTATAGAATGCCTCTTAATTCCAGATTTCAGAATGATGTCAAAAACAAATAGTTCATATTTAGTTACAGGTTAAATAAAGCAACTTATGTGTGCAAGTAACCTTCGACCACAGTATATCCTTTTATAGTTAAAAATCGCTTCTACACATTTATATTTAAGTAAAAGTGCGCCGTTAAGCTGCTTTAAGAGTTTATTTGTCTTTATATCCAAGCATATTTTGTGGCTCGTTTCTGACCATCTTTAAGCCAATTTGACATATTTGCTTAACTGATAAAATGATTTCAGTCTTATTTCGTTTCATTCTACTGTTGAAATGCTATTAACGTTTCTCCATGCTGCAAAATAAATGCAATCATTTATGTATATTTACGTAAAATTGTGATGGAAATATCATCTTAACATTGGACAGGCCAAAATTGTTTTGCGCTCTCGCTCTCCCACCCTCTCTCGCTTCCTCCCACTCATTCGCTGCTGCATTTTCATTTTATTTCGTTTCATTGCGTTTCATTTCGTTTCGTTGCGTTGCGCCTCGTTTCGTTTATTACATGTCAAGCGTCAATGAATGTCAGTTTGACAGTTCATAAGACAAATACGACAATGGGTGTGGTGTGAGTGCCAGGACGTACCTGTTTTCACACACACACACATTCGCATACATTGCTGGAGGAGGGGGTGCTGTTGGTGCCGGCTCTTGTGACAGCCAGGTAACATTTGCGGACATTAACGTCAACGTGCAGCGACTGCGTCGGCATGCCATATATGAGAGACGTGCCCAGGCCACGAACACCTCCTCCAACCACACATTCCCACACACACGCACACACACTCACTTCAAGCGCGTATCCTGTGGAGCAGACGCCGCTTGCATCTTGAATAATGTGTAAATGTGAGGCAGCCGCAGCCGCAGCTGAAGATTGGCAATTCTTGAGTACGTGTAAGTGGCCTAAGGATGTTGCATGCGGCCGCTGCTGTTGCTGCTGCTGCCACAGCTCCCGCTGTTGCTGCGGCAGCTGTTGTCCTGTTTTGGCAGGACATGTGCGACGTCGTTTCGGCTGACAACTTATTGCCGCTGGCGCTTGTGCTTTTCTCACTTTAAACAATTCCAAAGCGAATGCTAAAAATTGAAAATCTGATAAATGTGGGAGCAGCTGACGCTCTCTTTAATAGACGCTGTCAATGCTTGAGTGTGTGTGTGTGTGTGTGTGTGTGTTTGAGTGTGATGTGTGCGGCTTGTGGGTGTGGCTGGCATTGACAGCTAGCCAGGAGCAGCAGCTACACACTCACACACACACTTTAAAAACTTTCAACGCATTGTCATAAATCATTTTGCGGCAAACAACTTGCATGGAAGTTGGACATGCCCGTCCAAGCCATCGACCCGATCCCCATACACACATACGATGCCTGCTGTCTTTTGTCAGGGATTTGAAGTGGGCGGCGGCTGTTTGAATTACATGCAGAAATGTCAAAGTTGAGTTCACAAGTTGTTGTTGCCTTTGTTGTCGGTCGCAGCTTGTCATGTTCTGCTTGCTCAGTGCTTCAGCTTGAGCTGCGAAGGACATGGCAGCTGCCGAGATGCTGGACATAAGTCAGGACAGCTACACACACATATATATACCAGGTCAAGTGCTGATGCTTCTGCCTTTTCTTTTTTTCTTTAGCTATTACGCGTTTCTACCTCTATTATTATTATCATCCACAACGTATTTTTATTTTCAATCGGGCAAGAGCTTGTCAGAATAGCCTGACGACGTGTGCGTGCCAGCTCATGTTACGTATACGCTCGCTTTTTTCTCTTTTTCTTATTATTTATTTTTCCTTTTTTTTTTTGCCATACTTAATATGTCTTGTTATTTTTAGACATGATTGTTTTTTTTCGCCCTGGTTTTAGCTATAAAAAGATGTTTTGTACACTTTATAGTTCTTGTTCTGATGCCTGGTTCTTGTTACTTTTTATAGTGGCTGCTGCAAGGGTTTACAATTTCTAGCACTCAATTGCGAACCGGCTGCTGTTGAGCGGTTAGCTCGAGGGGTGGGGAGGGGCAGGGGTTTGAGCAAGGGGGCGGCATTGTGTTTGGCAACATGA